AAATATTAAATATTTAATAGTAATTAATTTGAATTTAATTATTTTTTGGCCCACGGGCCGGCCCAGGCCCAGCCCAGTCAAGCATCAAGAGCCAGCGGGCTGACTTGGGCTGGGCTTATAAGCATCAGTTTTAAATGTGCTCAAAAAATCCTAGCCCAACCCTACCCAAATAGCGGGCTGGGTTGGGCTGACCTCACGGGCCAAGCCCATTTTGACGGCTCTATGTATAAAGGGATAAACTGTTATCAACACTGTATTCAAAATCAGAAAATCAGAAAACGTTAGTTTAAGAAAACAAAAAACAGAAAAATTCCGAGCCCACAAGTTTCTTGTCTGTCCTTATGAAATTTAATCCCCTCACAGCTACCCAAGGTTTCGAATTAATTTCTCCCATGATAGAACGGAATAACTATTCTGTGATAGAGGCACTTCAAATCACAGAACTTCGGCGAACTCAAATGGCGGAGCAAATCACACAAAATGCTTACGTTTTTGCTTTTGAAAAACAACGCAGAATGCTGAATGCAGAAGATAGAGGGGGGAGATGTTCAGATTTCGGTGGTGGAAAAAGAGGTTAAGCCTCTCTATTTATATCCAACAAGGTTGAGTCCTAACAGATGCAAAGGTGCTTGTTCGTTGATAAGGTGTCTATTCCGCAGAAATTATTTAAATTTCTGTTGAATAGAATGTTTGGTCGCGAACTCGACCGTTGGAAAATAATTCCGGCGAATTCCCAAAGTCATATTTTTCCGCGAAAAAATATTAGAAAAAAGAATTAAATGATGGAAAAGGAAAATAAATTTAGTCCAAAAAATTATAAATCATATCAATTGACCGAAGCCGAGCCGAGCAACGGCGACGGCACGAGGCTTTCTCTCTTCTCAACTATTTAAGAGCTAGAAGAAGCTCTGTTTTAAAAGGCAGAATTGGGACTCGCCCGGGGCTCGCCCTGAGGCAGAGCACTCGTAAAATTCCCCTGGGCTTATGTGTGGGGCTTAGTTCGTGGGACTTACGCCTCGACCGTCGGGGCTTACGCTCCAGACACGCCCAACGCCCGGCGTACTGGGCTCGCCTAATAGAACTTTATGCAATTGTGTGTAACTAACCTTGTAAATCCTCAAATTTTCTTAATAAATCGTTGACTATTCAAAATTATTTTTTTCTTAATCATAAATTATTAAGTTGAGAGTATTTTATGTCATAACTAAAATAAAATTATTGTATTTTATGCACTAAGACTGCTATGATAGTAGATTTTAAATAAATCTTTCATTTAAAAGTATTTATTATATTAGTCCATAATTTTTTTTATAATTATTTTCCTAAATATTAATTTTTTCACGTTTACGAGATACAATACTTATTAATTTAATAGCTTGGTATTAGCTAGTAACTATTTACAAATAATTAGTTATCATGATATAGTATGGTGAATTATGTGTCACTTTATTAACTTGTTGAAACTTAAAAATAAATGATGCAAGAGAATCATATTTAAATTGTGAATTATATTTTTGTATAATTCTCTTTCAAATAAAAAACATATTAAATAAAAGGAGTATTTTAAAAAAATCAAATTATAATATCGAAATTCTTTCAAGGTTCATCACTCCTTAAGAGATACATATAAGATTTCGCATCGAATACATTACTTTTGATATTTGAGTTGTAACGACGTTGCAGCTAATTTGCATATTATCATATATGTCATACTTTTTGTATTATTCATAATTGAGTTATAATTTATAAATATTTTAAATAGATTATTTGTTATAACTTTGTGATTTTAATTTAATTTTTATTATTATTTTTTATTTTATACTATCTTAAAATTCTTGAAATTAGTAAAATTTAAAGATCCGAGGGACTTGCGCCCCATGTCTCAGGACTTACGCCTCGCCTCGTCAGAGGTAAAACGCCTCGCTTCACGCCCCCTTCTTTTAAAACATTGAGAAGAAGTGCTTCCATATGTAAGCACAAGAATTATCCTCTTCCTATTCAATGAGGGACAAAATTACTTTGTAAAATGAACTAATTTAAAATTTCATTTCCCTCTATTTCTTTTCCAACCATTTTCCATTCACATCTTTTTTGTTTTTATTAACAAAACCCAACATAAAGTTGAACCTTTTTTGGAAAAAAAGAAAAGAAAAAAGGAAGAAGAAGTAATATTGGAAGGTGAATGTTTGCATAAAATCAGGGCAAATCATCATTTTGCCTGTTTTTCCCCCCTTAAAAGATTCGTCACCCGTGATTTTAGAAGCAAAAAGAAAAAGAAACAGGATTAGTGGGCCAAAGGAAATGCATATTTAGGCAAATCTGTCCCTTGTATTTATCTACAACGCCAGCCTCATTTACTATTTAATATTAACAATAACAATAATAATTTATGACGGACCATGTATGGCTAATAAATCCAAGACAAACACTAGGCACAATCCAAGCCTTGATATGTCTTCGCTACCTCCGCTACAACACTTGCGTAATCCAGATTCATTGCATTTTTCAGGTTGCTGCATTCCTTTAAAAAAAATTATAAGCACGAAATCATGAAGTATTAAGATGAAATAAGATAAACTTACAATTTCTCGAGAGTCGAGATTAATACAGATTTAGTGAAAGAGGTGCAAAAAAAAAAATAGGGGTTTTCATCACAACTCTTCCCTTCCACAATTACAAATAGGGGTTTTCACAACTCAAAAAAGGGAAACCAGAAGTTATAACAAGAAGACACAAGGGAGCTCATGAATCAAAGGCCACAATTCTCTGCAAACTACAAGTGTTCAAGCACTTCAACACAAATTTCAAGTATTCAAGATCAAGAACGAAGTAAAATCAAATACAAAACATTCAAGATCAAGGCCACTTGTTCGTGATAAGATTCGTGACAACAACCAAAGCGTTCGTGATGGATAAATCAAATTCAAATTCAAGATCAAGCTCAAAAACCCTTGAATTTATATTGAAAAAGTAGAATTAGAGGAATCATAGAGATTGTAACACTTGTATTACTTGAAATCAAATACTACAATTGTTGCAATATTTTACGGTTTTGATTTTATTTTTTGACGTAAATTTATTGTTTACACGTAGTAGAGCAGTAGTTCGGAGTATATTTCAATCATGTAATCATGTTAATACATTTAGTTAGGTAATATACTTTTTAGAAGTCTCTTTTAGTCCTATTCGAGATTTTTATACCGGTATAAAATATGTATATTTTTTACTACTTTCCATATTTTCTTTTACATTGTGCAAACTTGGCTGAAATGAATTTAAATGCAGGACATGATTAGTGAGTATTTAGATAGTCAACCTCAACTTATTTGATACTAAAACACAATTGTTGCAATATTATAAATTTACTATTAGAATTGTTAACTATAGCCCCATTGTTAACTATTAACAACATGAGTCAATAGCTTAGATGGTCACTTAACTTTTGCAAATTGGCCCTCAAAGTTATATCTTTTTTGTTTTTTAAAAACCACTCAACTTTGGATAATTGGCCATCAAAGTCATATAATTTTCTTTTTTTCTTTAAAAATCATTTAAATTTACCTAGTTCACTTAAATGGTCATTCTTGCCAGATTTTGTACTTTACGCTGAGATTTAGTAACATGACAAAATTAATTTTAAGAATAAATTATTAAAATACTAATTTAAAGCCTGGACTATTTAAAGACATAAACCACTCGTTTACCTAATACATGACCCGTCCCACATATAAGGGTCGACAATTATAGTTAACAAAAACTTTTGTACTTTTGAATAATGATTTGTACCATGGAATTTTCAGTTATCATCTCAAAAATTACGTTACATCCAATTTACAACAATGAAATCTTTCAAATATTTGAAAAAATCGCAAACCCTTTGAAAAATATCTGAGAATTCTTTACGACTCTTAAATTTTACAAGAAGTATTGTTAACTTTAAACAAATTTACGAATTTTGAATTGTATCATTGGATTTTTACAATAACTTTTACAATGATGATTAATATCATTGAATTTTTCGGTGGGAGAACTATAATTCTAAGTAGTTGAGAGGATAACCTGAGTAATAATAGAACGATTGAATTGATTTGAAATTTTTCATGTGTCTTTATAATCATCTATTGAATGCTGACTTTCAGAAGTTTGTCTTGCTCCTCCGTTAGCTGTGTTCAATTTTTTTTCCATAAGTAGTTCATTTTAACTTTTAAATTTAATATAACATAAAATTTAAGATGGGAAAATTCAATAATTTAATCATTGTCCAAAAGTACAAAACTTTCAAATTAACTATAATTGCATATGGAGCAGAGAAGCTGTTAAAGTCGATCGATATGTGTGAGTTGAGTCAAGTATTAGGTAACCGATTGTGTTTTGTTTTAAAATGGTTTAGATTTTAAATTAGCATTTTAATAATTCTTTTTCATGTCATTAAATCTCACTGCAGAGTACAAAATCTACCAAGAAAGACCATTAAAGTGAACTAGATAAAGTTGAATGATTTTTGAAAGGCGAAAGAAAATTATATGACTTTAATGGTCAATCTAAAGTTAATTGATTTTTGAAAGACAAAAAGAAATAACATGACTTTGATGTCAAATTATCCTAAGTTGAGTGAAAATCTGAACCATCAAACTCTGAACAACAGTTACTACAATAAAATGTTGTCCATAACTCCATATTATAAGATCCAATAAATACAACTATTACAATTTACAAAATTGTTAACCTAAAAGACTAGTAATAATATGAAACATGAAATGTTATTACAATCCAATAAATGCACAATATGTGTTTAATTATAATTAATTAATATGTATAAATTTATCATTACAGAGTAACAAATTAATGTGGTTTAATACGCATGGACAGATATTATTTTATGATTACATGGTGCCATTGATTCAAAGAAATTTGCCTTTATTTTCCTCTTTTTCGTTTTGCCTTTTCAAAGTTCAATGGAAAATGTGACGGGGTTTGCAAAGCGTGTTCCGGTAGCACGAAAAACAAACCACGGCGCCATTTATTAAATTTCTGACGAAAGCCGGCAATTAGGCTAAAAAGAAAGAGAAATGTCATTAGGGCCCCACTGCAATTTGAGGTCAACGGTCAAAATATACGCTCCCCTCTAAAAGCTCGATTTTCCGAGCCCAATACCCAATTCTCTGTCTTTCCCGTTCATATCCACACACCCAACCACTCCTCTTTCTCCTAATTTCTTAAAAAACATTTCGGAAGAAAATAATATTACGCCGGCTATGGAGTTCGAATTGGATCACTCTGACGGGTTCGATCGGATACCCGACCCGCTTATTAACCTCATCTTCAACCAAATCTCCGACATCAAAACCCTAATCCGATGTCGCTCCGTTTCCAAACGGTTCAACTCTTTGGTTCCTCAAGCCGATTCGCTCCTCCTCCGGGTCGACCGGGTTATCTCCGCCACCGATTCCGACGACGAAGACGATTCCTTCTTCATTGCTTTCCTCAGATCCATCATCAAATCCCTTCACCATCTCGTTTCCCCAAGCAAGCCTCTCCCAAACCCGACCCGATCACAAAACTCACCCGCCCAGATCCTGCGCGAGTTCGAGAAGATCCGGAATCTTCAAATCGAGCTACCGTCCGGCGATCTCCGATTAGAGAAAGGCACGACAATTAAGTGGAAGGCAGAGTTTGGGAAAACCCTAAAGAGCTGCGTGATTTTAGGGTTTCGTGGTGGGGAAGGTGGCGGGGGAGAGGCAGAGTTAGGCGGAGGAGGAGGAGGAGCTGGGGGAGGTTTGAAAATGAGGGTAGTTTGGACAATTAGCGCGTTGATAGCAGCATCAGCAAGGCATTACATGATGATGGAAGTTGTAAACGAGCACAAGGAGCTGGAGAATTTGGTGATCAAAGACAGAGAAGATGAAGGTAAAGTAGTGATGGATAAGAAAGGATTGAGAGAATGTAGAGAGAGCCAAGGCGAAGGAGAAGAAGCGGAGGTGAATAGTGCTACCAGTGGGAATGGCGTTGGTGTTTGGTGGCGGAGCAATCGTACGACTGTGCCAGCAGTACGAATGAGGATGAGGCACGAAGCTAGAATGGAACTCTCCGATGGCACGAAAATGGTAGGAGCAACATTGGTGGTTGTGCGGCCAATTAATCAGGGTAATGGTGAGAGGAGTGAGGTAGAGGAACAAAATGGAGATGTAGGATTGGCATTAGCGGCATTTGGGGATGATGCAGTGTATGGAGAAGCCGTGGAGAGGTTGCTCAAGAGTAGAAGTTATATCCTGGAGATGAATTCCTTTTAGTTCCCACGGTATCTGTAAGAACTTGTTCTCAATCAATGTGATGATTCTAGAATTTTGTTGTCATTTGTAAATATATCGCTATTGTTATTTGTACAAGTAATGGTTAGACATGGCATTTCGTGCATAAGAAAGAATATTCTTTTGCTTATATTAGAGTCATGATCGAAATCCAAACTCTGGGGGTTTTAGGTATTGGGGCAGTGAGAATTGAACTGAAACTTTGTGTGAGGATCCCTTGGTCTTACCATTTCCATTGAGCTATGTTGCCCTCTTTTTTTGTTGCATTTGTACACGATTTTACCTGTAGTGTCTGATCTTATTGTGTACCATTTCATGTGCGGTGTCTGCTCAAGTCTCTTTTCATTAGGACTTCAGAAACCAATGTTGATACTTGTTCCTACTTATTGAACCCCTAATTTGCATTCAAAGGCATATTGAGGAGTCATATGTCCGACCCATTTGGGATGGAGAATTGATTGAAATATATTGTGAATGGAATATGTGCTGGCTAGATGGTAAAATTATGTTGATCAGATACTGAGTGTTCAACTTGTAGGTTTGATTAACTTTTACATGATGATACAGAAGTGATCTAGCTGATTCCAGCTTATTCGGTATTGAGGAGTAGCAACTGAACACTTCGCTTCTAGCATACCCACAGCCTATAAAAAAGGGCCGCAACGGCAACTATCTGAAATCCCGTAAGAGGAAGAACAGGAGGGAAACCTCTATGTTAAGAGACCTCTATTATGCTGAAGGATGCAATTGATTTGTCACCTGAACAACCTCGGCAGAAGGGCCCGGTATCTCAAGGAGCCTATTAGCAAAGGGCCATGCCACTTAGGTTCCTTGGCAATATTGAATTACAGATTTTTTGAGTTATTGTCAGTATGTTGCAAAATACCATATGGAATTATCAGAGGCAACTGCCATTGGCGTAGTGAATTCACCAGCTGTGATACAGTATGAGCAAGGCCTGATGAATGCTTTTCCAAATGACAATTCAAGCATGAGTCCTTAACTATATCTTTGATTAAATTTGTTTCTGAATGTTAGCAGCCACGATCAAAAGCTTTATTAGCTGTGTCTAATGGCCATGTGTGATAATCGTTGTAGCTTGTATTCTTCTGTTGGTTTTTGGACGTTTATAATTTCTCGTGGAAACTTTAATGACAGTTGATCAAAGTTTTAGCGAGGCAACAATTACATAATCAAGAAGTTGAAGCTGTTGTATAAAGAAGGTTCACAGTGTTGGTTCTCAATCTTATACACGACCATATTTCACAAGCCAAGTGATAGAGCTCATCCACAAGTTGTAGACTTGTAGCTGGGTATTTTTTTGGGCCTAATCCTTAACTGTCGAGTTTTCCAGACGTAACAGTGACTGAGGTTTTTTTTTGTTTGTGAGTTGATACGAACGCGGAAGCAAAATAACAAGAACACGAATAAAATGATAGAAAGATAGAGATTTAGTAGAGATTGAGTTTTTTTTTTTTTTTTGTTTGTGACTTGATACGAACGTGGAAGCAAAATAACAAGAACACGAATAAAATGATAGAAAGATAGAGATTTAGTAGAGAACCAACTAAGGAAATTGAAAGAAACACTTGAAATAAACAAATACCCAATCAATTTAAGACTTAATTGACCCAAAACTATATTAACAGCCCTCAAAGGGAAGCAATCCCCTTGTAAGTTCACCTTAACAAGTAATCAACCAACATAGGAGTGTATCCTAAACACTCTCAATGATTCTCATTCCCAATATCAAAATAAGCTAACCCTAAAATGAGAGCATTAAGAGTTATTTATACTAGGGAGCTAAATATTACAAATATACCTAATATATGTAGTATAGTCTTTTATTGTTGACAAAATTATATATGTAACCGTCCCGCTATGAAAATAGTCTCGCTCGATGGCTGACTGAGGTTTAGATCTGTAGATTATGGAAGAGGAAGAATTTTAGTAAATGGTAATGAAATTGTTAATTATTCCGCTGAGAAAATAAGTGGTATATCTATAAAGGTTATTGGACTAGCCGTTATTAGTTGTTTGCAGTGCTGAGTTGTGATTTGTTGTCGACCAATTTCAGTTATCTTTTGAAACGTGATTTTTTTCAACAATCATAGTAATTGAAATTCCAACTTGCTTATTTATATTCAGTAGTTGAGAATTTAACCTGCACATCAACATCTTGCGGGGGATATAAAATTGAAGTGGTGCGGTAATGATAGTTTTCTTTTGCTATTTACGAAGTTGAATAAGGTTGGTTTAATTGGCTACACTTTTTTATCAACTTCAAGACAACCCAAAGATGAATATATTTTCTATTCGCATGTCATATCCCAATCTTGGGTCTCTGCGACAACCCAAAGATGTGAATGCTGAAGAAGTTAGCTAATCATCTTGCATACCAAAAATGTTTTGGAAAAAAAGAACAAATAAGTACAAGAGAATAGTCAATGGCCAACAAGTCAGACATGCTCGCCAAGAACTTCTCATAGATATGTTGATATTGTCCCAGTTACGTATTTTTAGCTTTGTCTGTTCAACATAAATACTCAGTGTAAATACAAGACCAATAAGCAGCTTCTTCCTAGAAATTAGAATAGTAGCCATATTCTCTTCTGCAACGTGATGCTAGTCTATATTGCCATCCTTCATCCTGTATTTATGCTGCAGTTAATTTGATACTAGTTTCTCATGGATCACTTCCATCTATCTATCTTTAATACTTAATATATATAAAATCTTGCATGTCAAAATCAACCACAAGATGAAATTCGTTCCCGATTTTCTTCAATTGGTATCTTTTATTATGTTTATTTTTGTTAAGAAAAAACACAAACAGAGATGCACATAAAATCTCTGAATTTGTGCGTCAATCTCCAAACTATGGATGTTAAACCTCCCATATATATATAGAAGCATAAATTTTCCCCTCCCCCCCTTTTCCCCCTTGGTTATTACTTGAAGGCAATAGGAATATGCACCTTATAGTTATGGTCCTCGAGACAAAGTATATGGACTAGCCTGTTAATTTCTGCTCCTCCCCTTTTTTCCTTTGAATATTATTCAAGTTGCAGCTACCGTAGCTAAAAAAAAAAAAAAAAAAAAAAAAAAAAAAAAAAAAAAAACCATATTTTGCTATCATGTTCTTGAGAACTGTACGTGCATAACGTTGTATAGTCATATGGGAAAACCCTCTACTGGATTGGGTTAAGTGTAATATCATTTAACATATGGGATATCGAGAAAAAATCCTGGCTCTATCGGGGGGCTAATCTTACAAAATTTAATGGTATATGTATCTAAGTTCTACTCAAAATTTTACTTTCGGAAAGGGTTCAAAATGCACCTAAACTACTGGAAAAGGTTTAAAAATACCCTTCATCCATCTATTGGGCTAAAAAAAGCCCTCCATCCACGTGTTTGGTTCACTTATGCCCTTTGACCGTTAGGTTAATGCTGAATTAAAAAAAATTACTTAAAAAAAATATTTTGCAAAATATTTTCTTTTATTTAAACTAATGCACCAGTAGTCCACTAATTTAGTAGAGTCTTCATCTTCTTTTTTTTTCTTCAGTTTTTACGAAAAAAATCATTTTTTCAAA